AGAACACAAACATTCATTAAACAATCCAAAACTAATTAATTACAATTGAGTGGCGTCATTAAAACCTTGCCTTATAAAAAAACCCCCCAAGGAGGAAAATCCGGTCAATGAATTACAATATGATTGACATTCACACCCCCTTGTCTCAATAAAGATATACCACAATAGGTTAAATATATGAGTTTTCGACTAAAATGGTCTTTCATCTTGTATCCGAGGTGTATCTTAGTTCTCCAACTAAATTATTCACTCAAGTCATCCTCTAAATCGCTATTTCGGCACAAATTGGTCTCATTGTAATATTTACCGTCAGTTTGCGCAGACTGACGGTAAATGCATATCCATCACCCTGATCTGCCCCTCCAATTTCCCCCTAACCAACCTCCTAGGCACTAGCCCAGCCAAGCACCCAACCAATTTCATCCCGCCAAGCACCCAATTTTGAGAGAGAGAGAGAGAGAGAGAGAGAGAGAGAGAGATTGATTGATTGATTAATTGATAGATGTGATGGGTGCTGAGGGAAACAGAATTGCCATATATGGTTTTCTTCGTGGCTTGTGGAGTTGGATGATGAGTAGGGATGACAACGGGCCGGTTTGGGGCCGGGTATGGTGTTACCATGTCCCCATTCTCGCCCCTATCTCCAGTAAAAATAGCTCAGGGAATCCCCGTCCCCATACCCGTCGCGGAGCTACCTCCCAAATCCGTTCCATACCCGTCGCGTAGCTACCTCCCATATCCTACATTATAACACTTAAAGTTCATCTTAAATTATCATTTAACTCAATTACATTTGTTAATGTATGAATTTTTGATTAATTCTTTTGGCTTCCCTTGACATTTTTGTAATAGGACTTTTATATGTATTTATCAAGCTCAAGGATAGATTAAGATTAACATCTCTAAGTGTTCTTAAATCTCATCTATCCTATGGGGATCCGATGAGTTTACTCTTAAAAAAAATCTTATTAAAATAAACAAATAAACTACAATTATTTCACCTTATTCTTTTGCATTTTTTTTTATTTTTTTATTTTTATATTTCTTAATTTTCTTAGCAATTGATTTCATATCATGACTAATGTATCAATTCATTATATTTTCTTGGAAAAAACACAACAAAAGTTAGCATTTAACTTAAAATACATATTTTATCGCAAATTCAATCTATAAGCCTAAAACACAAATATAAGAATAACATAAAAATACACACTGTCTTGCAGTTTGAATCTATAAAACTAAAAATACCAATATAAGAATGAAAAAAAAAATTACAAACTATACATGTGGGAACAAATATTTTGGGTTCCAATCACAAGACGCCACGTGGACAAGAAGAATGTCTCCTAGGTCAATTAATTGAGCCCATTTATTTGGTAAATTAATTGATACTAAAATTAGGGATATTATCTTACATATGAGATATTTTCTTTATTTAAAAAGATAATATCACCAATTAAGATATTATCCTAATTTGGAGATATCATCATCAAATTAGGAGATTTGATCCCGATCAAATCCATAATGGACTCAATCTCTACAATTTGGGGAAAGAATAAATTCCTTCCAAATAGGAATTATTCTTTGAAAAACCATAGATGCCTATAAGAAATACATGGCTTCATTCAACACACAAGGTAATTCGAAACTCAGTTCCTAAACCCTAGAAAAATACCCAAAACTCCTTCTCTTCTAGCCGCCGGCCCTCTCCATTTTGTCTCTCCACATGGCTCCAGTCACTACACATGGTTCCAGCCACACGGTTCTCCCTATAGAGAAAATCCCGTACCCTTTTTTAGCTATTGTTTTACCTAGATTCAATTGAACTAACTAAGGCATCAGAGGGCCTTTGGCCAACACTCCCTAGGTGTGGTGTTTTACTCCAATTTGATTTTATAGGGATCAACGCTATACTTTTAAAATATTCTATTTATAAACTATAGTCACGCGACTATACTTTTAACATATTCTATTTAGAGTGTATAGCCGCGCGGCTATACTTGTAAAATATTCTATTTATATAGTATAGCCGTGCGACCATACGGTTAAATATTACATTTATATATAGTATAGCCGTCCGGCTATACTCTTTAAATATACACCAGCAATAAAAATATGGATTTCTTTGTAGCAAAGTTGAGCCTTAAGAAAATGAATCAATTAGACATGGTATGTGTTTACGTTCCAGCTTTGTTCCTCTATGTGCGCTTAGGGTTGAAGGGAAATTTATGCCTTGTTTGTGTGTTGTTGCTTATCTTTTTAGGTGCCCTTTTGTCATATTTCCTTAAATATATTCAAATATTTAAACAGTATAGTCGAGCGGCTATATACTCTTTAAATATATTATGTTTTAATTATTATTTAATTAAAAAAAGTCCACAAAATAATTTAAAATAATTAATTACTATTCATTAAGTAATTTATGAAATCAGTAAAATATTTAAATATGCACTAAAGAAATAATAATTAAAATATAATTACTAATTAAAGTAATTAAAAAAGGCTAAGATATTACCTAATTACATATCATAAATTAAAGAAGTTGGCCAAAAAATAAAAGTAAAGAAACCAAAGTTTGCTAAACTAAACCTTTAATCTAAGGAACAATAAAGAGCAAAGTTCATACTCTTAAACTTATAGCAACGATTTTGACCACAAAACATCTAGAAACGAAGAAGATCCTTTGTTTGTGGTGGTGTTGTTAGATTTGGATCGCTAGACTCCAATATAAATGGTTGCGGTGAACGCTCTCTGATTTCAACTTGAACGCGTCTTTCTTGATTCCCAGGATTGTTGGCCCTTTTTGCCTCCTCTTCTTGAGCTTTGGTTGGCAAGAAAGTGTGGTAGTAAGTGGTCTTCATGTTATCAGCCATGAGAATTGAATGGTTTTTCTTTTTGTCTTTTAGAGTGGATGAAGAAATTTGATAGATGAAAATTAGGGTTTTGGTTCGGGTTTTATAATGATGCATGGATGCAGTGTAATAGGAAAGTTGGATGATGGTTTACATGTAGGGAGTGTAAATGGAAATTTTATTTATTATGAAATAATAATGAAATCTTGGCACACGCATACTGCATATTAATAATAAAAATAAAAAGGAAATGTATAAAATAATGAAACTTTTTCTTTGCTCTCACGTTTCCCTAATTTTATTGTTCTAAACTGAATTATTTACCCGAAAAGAGCTTCTGCTTGATTTCCTAGTTGCCGATCTATATACAAAACTTAGCTTTATTTTGTCATACAAATTGGCTTTGAATACACATAAATGATACTGTCATATACAAAACTTAGTTTTTTATTTTCGTGTCATACCCAAAAACAAGTTTTGTTTTTCGCAAACAACAAATATATATGTCTTTGCAAGAATACTGAAATCAACAAATCTTTAAACAGTGAAATAATCTTTAAAATATAAAAAGTTAAAATGATAATAAAGCCAGAAAAGCTGAAAGGAACGAAGAGTTGTCCTTCACCAATTAGTTTTTTATAGATATTATAAGTAATGAAGATTGGAAAGGGGCCGGCACCGGTGCCACAACAAACCTTTGTTGCGGCGCCGCCCATGCATGGCATACAATTTGTAAGTAATGAAGATTGAAGCTTCTAGAAGATTCCAGAATCTACAGCCCAGCATTTTAACTAATTTCTTGGTTAACCTCTCTGTTAAGTTGTTCAGTAGCATAGAGGTCGATAAAGTCACTAACTAAACTTTTAAAGGAGCCAAGCAAAAATAGAAAGACTATCGTGAAGTTCATCATGAAGTTATGAAAAACCAGCCACATGGAAAACTCATGCTACTGAACACTCATGCCCTAACCTAATTTTAGACTTAATTAAAACGATGTAATATATAGGATGAATTATCTAAATGAGACATCATGCTTACCGGGTTTAAATTTAGCGAAGTTTTCGAGCTCAAAGATTACCCAAATGATAATTTATACCTACATATTAATTAAAGCATGAATAAAGGAGCCAAGCAAATATAGAAAGACTGTCATGAAGCTCATGATGAAGTTATGAAACCAGAGACATGCAAAGCTCAGGCTACTTCACACGGCATACTGCTAGCAACATATGCATGCTATGTCTCATGAAAAACAACATATATAGAGGCTATAAAACCATGCATATATACAGAGGTTTTGTTTATTAATTGATCTCTCTATTGCCTTCTCTTTTCTCATTTCACTTCAATTTCATCTCTCTCTCTCTCTCTCTCTCTCAACGAAGAAAATGGCTGCAAAAGGGAAGGATCTTAGCCAACAGCTCGAGGAACTCATCAGCTCCTTGCAAGAACAAGTCAGTTCACCCCCATTATATTGCTTTGCTTATAAATATATCTTGCTTTTCTTTTAAGTTTTTACAAGATTAGTATGGTAAGCTTTATGAAATATGGTATATGTTTCCTGGCAGGGCATTTTGACCGACTACTTTGACGACATAAAAGAGTTACAAGATGAAATCAACCCTCGCTTCGTTGACGAAATTATCACCATCTTCCTTCGTGTAGCTGAAGATTACAGAGCCGAACTCACAAGAAATCTGTAATTAATTTCCTTCACTATTTCCATGAACTAATTGGAGTTTTACATATATATAGATACTAATTTTGGAGAATTCAATTTTAATTTAATTAGGAGTGTGCCTGATGTCAACTATCCTGAGGTGAATAAACTCGCAATCAGGTTTAAAAGTAGTAGCACCAGGTAATTGCCAATTATTTTCTTTTTTTGGTCATAATTGTCAATTGGATAATTTTTTAGAATATGCTCCCTAATTACTATACATTAATATATTACTTAAAGGAGAATTATGATTTTGATGCATTTGTGATGTATGCAGTAACAAAGGGCGGAACCACCCTTAGACTATGATGGGCTCCAGCCCATTCGAAATAATTAGATAAATAGGAATTTAGTGTTACTTTTAAGAAATTCAGCATATTTAGTGAAAACTAACGCACTACATTCCACAAAAAATTAGTCTACTCCACCCTGTAGCTCCTTAAATGTAAAAAGACAAATTTATATCTCACCTGTATGAAAGTTCTTGGTTCCGCCCTTGCAAGAATAATATGTGAAGGAACCATTTCAGCTCAAAATAAAAGAATAAAGGACCATTGCTAAGAATTTCTTAATATTTACTGGTCTCCTCTGGATTTTTGTATTGTATATTATGAGCTCAAATGGAGGCTTCTTAATTTGTTGCACATCCTGGTCTTCTTAATTTCTTAATTTACTGCATTTTGAAATTACAGTAATGCATGTGGCCTGGTTTCCCTTGCCTGTCAAGAGCTCGTTGATGCAAGTGAAGCAAATAACAAAGAAGGGTAAGATTTTATTTGTTCTCTCATGATCGCCAAATAATCTACTAACAAAATTTATGAATAATACATATATGTATGGTTTTGTGCTTGTAGGTGCCTTGTAGCTCTAGAAAATGTCAACCATGAATATCTTGTCGCCAAAGAGAATTTGAATCGCATTGTTGGGGTAACATTTGTTTTGAATCCTTAATCTTTTCTCAGTTTTAATTTGCATGTTGCAGGTTGTAATTTGCATGTTGCATGTTCTAATATTCAGAATTTTCTTGTCTACAGATGGAATGTGAAATTTATGACATGAGGCTGTGCCGTAAGCAACCTGAGTAGAGAGAGTTCTTATTATATAAGAGTCATCGACTCCAGAAAATCGTGATGTTTTCTTCATGTTGGCCATGTAATAAGTTTATTACTTCTATGTTATAGACTTATTTATAACTTGTTTTTAGGACAAGGTTTTGGTATTTGGAACTTTTGAATAAGTTCACTATAAAGTGAACATTATGTGTTTAAGACTTGATTTTCTATCCATTTTATAAGTGGACCTTGTTCTTAGTGCCTAACTAATTATTGTGTACAAGTTCTAATCTCCACTATTATTGTCACATATTAATCTTTCTTTACTAATATTGTTCTTATTTTTCATAGTGGATGCCAATTGTAAACTTTATGTTAGAAAGTATGAAATTACCCACAAAAAGGGAGAAGAAAGGAATAAGTTGAATAATAATAAAATATTACTCCCATTAGTTACTTCACTAAATATGAAAAATGTTCAACATATTCTTTAACAAAGATTTACCAACAATGTGTTTGGATGTGGAAGTACTGAGGAATTTAAAATGATGTAAATTAATGTTTTAAAATTTGCAAGCTTTTTATTTTGGGCTAATGAATTTAATCATGGAATTCAATATTTTAGAACTCCATTTCTTTTGAAATTTTAGAAATGACAACTATTTAGATAGAATTTAAAGTTGGTACTTATGACCTCCAAATTCCATATTTTTTTTTCCATGCATGTACAATTTCTAAATTATTTTTTATTTTTTATCCAAACATGGGAATTGGTGTATGTCAATTTGGAAGTTTTGACTTTTGTCCAAATCTCAAGTTTTTTTCACCTATCCAAACACACCGTAAGTGTCAAATTGCCACATAAGCTATCAAATTCAAATTTAACATTTTATATTTAATATCTCCATTGGATATGCTCTTTGGCAATTACTTAGCTGTTGAAGGACTAGTGCTTATTGCCCTTGCCAGGTATGAACCAACGGTTGGGTCCAAAGAAAGAGTTAATGTAATCATGACCCAAAAAAGAAAAAAAAATTTGATTTATAATTTCTTGACCCGAAAAAAGAATAGAGAAATAGACACAATTTCCACGGTGATTATGCTCCCTCCCACAGATGCACTAATATTCTTATTTTTATTTTCTTCCCCAAAAAAAAATCCGGAAACATAACGCGGCACAGCTGGACCGCGATTAGAGGACGCTATTATTAAGTAGAGAGCTGCTATGTTTGATCTGTTCGGTCTCTCCAGAAGATCATATGATATGTTCTTGAATAAGTTCATAATGATCAAATGAACATTCCCTGTTTAAGACTTAGTTTTGGATATGCTTTGGTAGTCTCTTTATGTTATCTTTAAATTTGGCTACTATTGGATTATGCCTAGCTACGGTTTTTAAAACCTACAAACGGTTCCAATCGAATATTTCAGGAAGTGCAAGTAATTGATTATTGATCATGGGTATCCTCTTTTGGCCGAGGAGGGAGAGAGAGAAAAGTATGGTTAGTTGAAAGATATAAAGGAAAAGAATCATTTGATAAAACAGAATTTTTTTTATAGCCGCAACAATTTCATTAATAAAAGGGCATTACAAGAACATAGCTCTACAAAGGGCTTTGACAAACAATAAACACAACTATTACAAGAACGTAGCCCCATATTTAATAATAATATTTTGTTGATAATTATAGTATAGCAGAAAATTAAGCTACCCAGAACAAGAACCTAGCTATATGAATTGACCAATAGATCAAATTTTGATATGAATTTGATTTAATTAATAGGATATGGATTGAGACTTTCAACCTCATAATCTGACATCCCATTAACTTAGCAAATGAACTATGTGTTATAGATGATTCGATCCAAAAATAGTTCGACGACTTGAATTAATATAATATATAATTTATCTTTTATATGCGTGTGTAACGGTAACTTGAGTCTTTAGACACTGAAAATGTATTTAAGTGTAACAACCCTTCCCGGAAATTCCTTAGTGTTATTTAAATCCAAGCTACTTTGACCATTTTACCCTTAGGAATTTAAGTTTTGTTTTCGAGAGTCTAGTTTTTGGATTTTTCTTTGTACTTGGACGTAGAGCTCTATCCAACTAACGCGTAGGCATACACAAATCCCAAATTGGAGTTGAAACAGAGAAGTTACACGGCTTTGAAGTTCAAGGGAATTTTCGCAAGAAAAAATGAACCCTTAAACCCCTAACCCAAGTATGTGCCACATGGCATGCCTAGATTATATATATATATATATATATATATATATATATATATA